CAAATGGTTTCCCCTGGGATTCTGGAAAGAGGGCACTTTTCCTGGAATCTAAGCTGTGCTTTCCCTGGCTAGCTCTCTCTGCTGAAGAGGTCACTGACTCTGCTCAGCCTCCCCTCACAGGGACTGTGCTAATCTGCCCATTTCCTCTGAGCTCTGCTGTCGTCTTTGAACAGGCTTTCTACATTTGGGAGGGCTCCGGACTGCTCTGTACAACTATCTCTTTGCCCGAAAACACCGAGGCAGCTTTATCCTTCGACTGGAAGACACCGATCAAAGCCGTGTGGTATCAGCAGCCTCTGAAAGCATAGAAGATGCATTGGAGTGGGCAGGTAAGGAACCAGAGCCTGTTGAAGGGGATCAGGCGTGCCTGGTTTTTTTTTATCCCTTTTAAAAGCCTTGCCTTTTGGCAATATTTTTCTGCCAGTGTGTTGCCCCCATCATCTCCAGGAGCCTGAGAAATGTTGGGGGGGGAAAGGGTTACATGTGGCTGCAAGAGATCCCTCCCTGTTCCAGACCCATTTTGTGAGTATTAGAGGCAGACGTTTTGCCACTGTAGAAAGTATGGACCCTGATCTTTGCTCAGTACTCCTCCTGGCAGCAGTGGTCCATCTGGTCTCCGTTTCTAGTCCTGTTGGAGGCTTAAACCCCATACCAGCAATAGGAACGGTACAGCTTCCTCGAGTCTGTTAGTGCATTCCTGAATACTGTGCAGTGATGTCCAGAGTGGAGAGAGCTATCCTTCCTCCTGTTAATCAGCCTGTTTCGTGTTGGGAAGATTCCTGTGAGAGGCTTGTGGCCTTCCTTGAAGTCTTGCCATTACTTAATACTTGTGGCCTGATTCTTCCTGGGTCTCTGTAATCCTTTTGGTAAAGAGACCTTAGGCACGTGATCAACTTTTAGTCCCTCAGCCTCCTGAGAATGAAATGTGGTGACTTATAGCATATCAGCCAATGTGCCACCAACTGAGCTCTTCTCTAGCTTACGGGGCTCCTTGAGGGTGGAGGGGCAGAGCCTGTGTTGCCTACGGGTTGGGCTGGACTGTGGTTTTTGTCATCACTCTGTCTTGCTCATAGTTGTTGCCTGCCTGCAGGCCTGCCACCAGATGAGAGCCCTCGCCGGGGAGGCCCTGCTGCCCCTTACCAACAATCCCTACGATGTGACCTATATAAGAAATACACAGAGCTGCTTCTTGAGAAAGGGGCTGCCTATCGCTGTTTCTGCACACCCCAGCGCCTGGAATTACTAAAGAAGGAAGCATTGCGCAGTCAGCAAACTCCACGGTGAGAACCGTTGACGTAGTGAGGCTAAACTTTAGCATCAGACTCTTAAATTCTTCCTTTCTCCTGTGGTTGGTGAAACGGAGATGAACACTGTCCCCTAAAGTCGGCAATGACTGGCGGAGTAAAATCCTCGGGGACTCCTTTTTTACCTGTGGTTGGAAGAGGAGGCTACTTTAAACAAACAGGAGTAACTTTAGTTTTGCAGAGTTGATGCACTCTAGTTCTTCTCCTCTACAGGTATGACAATAGGTGCCGTCACCTAAAACCCAAGGAGGTTGCTGAGAAGATATCTCAAGGTGTTGACTACGTGGTGCGTTTTCACCTGGAAGAGCAGTCGGATCCCTTTTGCGATCTAATCCATGGGTGGAGCAGGCATGAGGTGGCCAGTGTGGAAGGTGATCCAGTGATTTTGAAGAGCGATGGCTTTCCAACCTATCACCTGGCTAACGTCGTGGATGATCACCTGATGGAGATCAGTCATGTTCTGCGTGGAGCTGAATGGCTCACTTCCACTTCCAAACACCTCCTCCTCTACAGGGCATTTGGCTGGGAGCCACCTCATTTTGGGCACCTTCCACTGCTCCTGAACGAAGATGGCAGCAAACTCTCCAAGAGACAAGGGCATATTTTTGTGGAGGAGTTTGCGCAAAATGGCTATTTGCCGGCCACCCTCCTGGATCTCATGACACACTCTGGCTCAGGGTTTGCAGGTAATGTAGTCGCCTCTTGCAGGGGAAGTAAGGTGAATGTGTGTATTTTCAGAACCATTTGTGTTTTACTTTTCAACTGGCAGGGACTGTGCAGGAGCCGGTCTATAAATCCCATTTCCTCAGGCATGTTGAGGTGGGAAAGGTTGTCCTCACCTTGATTGGAGACTGAGGGATGGGCAGGTAAAAGAGGCTGTGGATAAAGTAGGAGGAATTACTGTGATACCTTTACATCAAAGGGGGTTGTAGAAATCAGGTATCTGTGAAGAGAAGTTCAGCAGCTTCTTGATCTGTTTTGCAGAGAATAGAATGGGACGAACACTAAAGGAGCTGATTGACGAGTTTGATCCGAGCAGGATTGAAAGGCATTCGGCCCTCCTGGATTTGAAGAAACTGCCAGAATTCAACAGGTGGAGAAAATGAAAGGGCTTCAGACTCTCCTGTTGCTCTCTAGCTCCCTCTTCAGTGTTTTGGGGGCTGGTTCCCCTGCCCCCATTGTCACTCATTCCCCACCTCCTTGAAATTGACTTGGGTAATGAGGGAATCACAGATTCTTTCCCCAGACTTTCCCAAAAGGTCAGCATGTCTTAATGGAATAGTCCAGGAAATGCCTTGGCCAAATTGGACACACTCTAAGGGGCGGCCACAAAGAAGAGGGGGTCAACCTGTTGCTCTGCATTACAAGAGGGCTGCACTGGGGTTGGCTGTTTGGAGTAGTAGGCCGTTTTGGTGAGGTATGTTCGTGTGAATGGTTGCTGTGGCTTTGTTCCCCGTTTTGCCTCTGCCTGCATCCAGTGCGTTCTTTTGCTTAGGATTCATCTGGCCCAGCAGATTGGAGATGAGGGGCTACGGCAGAAGCTTGTGGCAGAGGTTCAGGCCTCTGTGGAGGAAGTCTACGGCAAGCAGCTTCCAGAGAGGGAGGTCCTTGAAAAGGGTTACGTAGAGCAGGTGCTCCTGCTGAGGAGGGTAAGTCGGAAGCAGTTTGTTTTCAGAGGAGTCTCTGGATTCCTGCCAAATGACAGTGGCCCCATATATGTGAATTCTCCGTACGTGTGTGTGTGGGGGGGGGAGGGTGCCTGCTGGTCTATACTAAGCTAAGGGCAGTTTGGATAAAAGGGCATTTAATCCTTTCCTAGCAAGTCAGGCCTGTTTGCCACATGGCTGTGATGCTTGTGTGCTGTCAGGATTGGGTTACTTGGCAAGTTGAGCAGAGCGCCAGCTGAAGGACATCGTCCAGAGGAACAGGACATGGCGGGGAGAAGGCGGCAGGGGCTCCCTCTCCTGGGCTCTGCTTCTCTGAACTCCTCCCTCCCTCCCTAGGGCCACATTAGCCGTCTGAAGGACTTGGTGTCCCCCAGCTACGCTTTCTTGTGGATCCGACCCTCTGTGCCTTCTGAGAAGCTGCAGACTCTCTCCACTGAGACAGACCAGATAGGAAGGGTGGTCCTCAGGTAAACTGGCTGCTGTCTTGGTGGGGAATCTTGCTCTGTTTTGGGAAGAAATTCCTACTTGCCTGTTTCATAAACTTCCTCATGTGAAAATGAACACTTTCCCTGCTGGGTAA